GCCGCCCCCCCCCCAGCCGGTCGCATGGATGAGGGTGAGGTATGGAGGTGGCGGTCACGTTTATACCCCCGACGCACTTATTCTAATTCCGTCATGGGGAACAAATACGCGACAAACAGCAATTAAATACACAGGGGACGAGCAAGCCTAGGAAATTTCCAACAAAAATAGGTGTTTATTGCGCTGATAGAAACCGACATAAAGTTCCCGTACGACCAGATATGTACTGTACAAAGAGCGATCCAACACAGAGGGTCTTATCCAGGCCCAACCTGCCACGCCACATATCAGCTACCACGCGGCGAATTCTAGGGACATGCCATACCTTTGGAATGTCGTGATGCTCACTTAGAGCCTCTAGCTTTGAATTGAACTCGTGCACTCGGTCCTTGTGGGTCTTATTGGCTAATTTGGCCACTTTAGCAGCAAGCTAAACGCAAAACTATTACAGAAGCAGGCAGAATGGAAAGAGGAATAGACATACCCGTTTCCTCTGCACTTCCTCAAACCTCTTCTCAGCCGCTGTTTTCCTATCACTACCCCCTACTCCAGGGGAGTTTCTGCTGCTTCCTGCAGGAGAAGCATTCTTACTTTCCTCCTCCTTCAGAAGCGACTCAATCTCCCTTATTCGCTCTTCCTCTGCGGTCTGATCTTTGTCCGAGGTCTTGTCTTTGTCCTTGTCTTTGGACTTGGACTTAGACTTCTTCCTAGTCTGAATGAGCATCAATTGCCTTTGAATTGATGAACAAAACTCACTTCTTGACAATACCACCCTCAATGACCCCACTCCTCAGCTTCAGTGCGCCGCCGGGGCGAAAGTCATATTCGGACATGGACGTTGTGGACAAGAAGTCGAGATCACGGTCACACCTTCGGGACACACTGTACGCGGGTCACGCGTAGGCGCCGCTCGGTGACACTCTGACACCTCTGCTCGCTGGAGCCTACAGGCGCCTGCTCTCGATCCCTAAGGTGCTACTAGTACTCACTGTCATCGTTTACGAACGCCGTTGCACCCAAATTCAAATTTACTGGGTGCACTGTCCCCTGGAATCTCTGTAGCTGGCTGAGGTTTCCTGAAACGCGTTCTCGAATATGGCTGTCTTCTCTGTCTCTCCGGCGCAGTTCATCTCCTCCATACCTCCCGCGACTCGTGCATACACTGCTGCTACTATTGCATTTTCACTGCTCTACTATGTTCTAGAGCTAGTGTCTGGGACAGAATTTGCCGCACCTTATCTTGTGCTCATTCCAGGCTCTAGCGCCTTCTATCCGTGGACCCTTCTAACGTCTGCTCTAGTAGAAACTACCGTTGTGGAGGTGCGTACACGTACTCCTCGAAATCGTATGATAGCTGATTTTTACGCAGCTTATCTTTACGCTCATATGTATACCAGCTTCTCTCAGATACTTGGAACGATTATGGGGTGCTACAGAGCTACTGAAATTCATAGCGGTGACGATCACTGTATCAAATATCATAGCTTTCGGTTTGAACTGGATTGAGTACGTGGTCCTCAGGAACCCTGTATTCCTGTAAGTTCTAGTCTTAGCGTATGCTTCTTGTGCATGCTCATACGCCTCGCAGCTATGGCCAGCAATATCACGGACAGATGGCGTTGCAGATTGGGGTGCTTGTTGCATTCAGGCAAATTATTCCTGAGCATCAAGTTCAATTGTTTGGTGTGTTGAAAGCCAGGGTGAAGGTATGTTTTGTTGATGCTGTCATGTATGACCTGCGAGTTAGAAATGGATTGAAAGGCTCATTTTTCTAGACGTTGCCCATGGCGTACGTTACGTTCTCCACCGTGATGTGTATCGTTGGGTTCCAATGCCCGTTTATCGTCATTCAATTCGGCTGGCTTGTGTCTTACATCTGGCTGCGATTCTACAAGAAGAATACCGGAGATCTCGGTGGCGGGCCATTATACGGGGACCGGAGCGAAACATTTGCTTTCATCACTTGGTTTCCCCCTCTCCTTCAGTGCGTATAGTATACATTTGTCACTATTACTCGAGTTGACGTACATTGCTATTCCAGCGGACCCCTCACTTTGCTTGGGGACACGGCATTTACGCTGGCTACGAGGTTTCATCTGATACCGATCTCTGGTTCAGACGTAGAATCCGGAGGATACAGTCAGGTGCCTGGTGGTGCGCGCGCGGAAGCCGAAAGGCGAAGGTGTGTCTGCACCGTGCCGATCGTCGCAGTTCCTTGATCTTATGGCTTGAATATGTGTAGAGCGATGGCTCTCAAAGCCCTCGACCAACGATTAGCTGGCGGCGCAACTTCTCCAACTCCACCTCAAAGGACTGCAAATAGCTCATCAGCCCCTTCCCGACCGGCAGCCGCGAGCATTAGTCGTACGACCGAAACTTCTCTTCCTAAAAAGACACCCTCGACTACCGACGTTACTCAAAGTGTTGATGCTGCAGTAAAGGACGACAAGGAGAATTGATGATACAACGAAGCTCTATATGTATGTTTGTCGGCGCAGGGACGCAATGATAGCTTTCTCTATCTTTACGGTCTTCACGGTAGTGTAGTCCTGTTACCCTAGTTGGTTTAATAATGTCTCAGCATCCCATCTTGCTGTACCGCTAGTGAGTCAGTAATTGGTCGATGTCTTCTTTGAACTCGAGGTTCCTGGGCTTCTTCAAGTTGTGCTGCTGCTGAGTCGGATATCCAGCAGCCACTTGCGAGAGTGATACCAAGTAGAATCTAAGCCATTATATTGTTGTTCCTCCAACAACTCAATAGACTCAGAGCAATAGGTGAAACTATCCTTCTCCGCTCTATAGGTTTCTATTGAGAAGTCTGCCTGCGGTTGACAACTTGAAGCAGCACTTCTTGAATTTGGAGTCGTTTGGATTATCTGGCCACGTGTCAAGCGCCTCACTCTCTGGCTTGGAATTTGGATTGAGCTTCGACATGGCTGCGCGTCCTTCTGTCATGACGTCTCGTTCATCTGCTGCTAATTTGCAACTGGATCCAGCAAATATAGAGAGCCGGCCATGGGCCTTGCCGCGCTCGTCGTCTTTGGCGGCAACAGTCGGCCAAACGCTCCCTGATGACTTTAATCCTGACGACCTGTTCTCCAAACATACCATCTCAGAGGTTAAGGTTGTACAACAACGGTTTAGGTATTGGAATATGTTCTATTGAATGAACCCGATTGAAGTTGTCACCAGGTCCAATGCTGAGGCCAAGCAAGAGGAGCTTCGGATCATGGTCGGGTACGTCTGTTAAACCAGTCATTCAACAATCGTTCAACTCTACCACGAAAGCGCAGGGAACGGTATCGTGACCTCCTCCAGGCATCTGCGTCTATCATCTCAATGGCAGAGACTTCCAAGCATGCCATGAAGGCATTCAACGAGATGCACGCAGTTGTCAGCTCAGTGGAGATGGCACGGGCACCAAAAAGGACCTCGATTGCAGAAGAAGGTCGGACTTTGACGGTTCGTGTCGAAACGTGATACTTAATCTTGGTTTAGACAAACACCTCCAAGCGCTGCAATCCCTCTCTGCTCACCTTAAACTGCTGCTCGACGCACCTGAGCACCTTTGGCGGTTTATGGAACAACAACAATATTATCACGCCGCCTGGCTCTTCTTGACCACACGCGTTGTGCATCGGACTTTGTTACAGGAAGAGAACGGTGATCAAAGCTGGCGGGTATGCGGCATAAACGTCCTCGTAAGTCATACTCGTCGGCAACCGTGACTTCGGATTTGAATTCCCGGATCAGGAGCAGGTTCCACTTGTGCAACGACAATGGGACGCAGTATCGCAGTTTCGTCCTCAGATTGCGCATAAGGCGACACTTTCATTGCGAGAGCTTACCACATCACCTGGGGTGCGTACGGAATATGTGATTGTCTTCAGGCATTAATACGTTTTGATAGGAGGTATGCGCTACCCTTCTCACTCTCCATCTGCTTGAGTCACGTCCACTGGCGGAAACTGCATCGATCTTTCTTGCGCAGAGATCAAAAACCCTGTCCTCGGCTCTGTTGCAGAGTGGTGAACATCTGCCTAATGGGCCTACTCTCGGTTCGTCCGAGTCAGACAGCAAATTGTCTAGCAGATCCCGAAAACTTGTCGTGCGTGAAATTAAGCAAAAAATACGAAACGTCATGGACATCATATCCCGTACGGTAGGATTAGCGCGAGTCATTTTCGAACATCGCAATGGTTCGAACGAGCCGTCGATGATGGAGACAGCTCTAGAGTTCATTCAATCAGACAGTGCTCACTCCAGATCGCTACCCAGCGAACTGAGATTGAGTATACAGTCCTTATTATCAAGCCTTCCTTCTTCGACACACCATCTTCTCTCAGCCAATATTCGATCGTACAAACCATACGTCGATGTAAAATCTTCCTCTTCCGCTATCTCACAATCAGAGTTTCATGACAGGGTATCCACCTGGTTCACAAAATCCGTGGATACTGCACGGGTGGCTATTACCCACTGGTTCTCCATTTTGTTGACTGTCCAAGAAGTTTGGGATGTTCGCTCATCTTCGTGGAATTGGATTTTAACTCTCGATGGGCTAGACACAAGCGAGAAAAGACATATCAAGTCACTCTTTGATGAGCTCACGCAGCGTCAAGTGAAAGCTGTATGGAAATCGACGCTGGACCTTGTGGAAGCGTCATTCGAGGAGCGCTTAGATTCTGCTCTTGGTGTCTTGATGGGCGACCCACAGGCCGACGTTTCTGGTATGTCTTGTATTTATTTGTGACAAATTAGCTTCTGAAAATGAAGTGAAGACCCACAGCCAGTAGAGTATCTATTTCGAGCACCGCCGATCTCAGCGCCTTCATCCTCGCCGAGCAAAATGAACCCATCCCCGGCTGTGATTTCATTTCAGCGATATCGGTCTTCTCTGCAGCGCCAATTGGACGGGCGAACCCCTCTGTTAGACGATTTTTTAAGCATGGGTGAACAATATGCTCTTGAACTCGAGAAAGATATGCAGGTCATTCGGGATGTAGATTCAGATTCCCAGTACGCACAATTTTTTTTCGCTACTTTCACCATTGGCCTCACCACCGTGCTTGTCAGCATGATGTCGGCACAGCTACTTGAGAGCTATCGACCCGGTGCTGAGGCGCTATGCTTCAAGCTCGTTGACTTACTGGAGAAACGCGCGAATGCGTCCGACAATGCTGGTTTGTCGGATTGCTTCGATTGTGCCTGGTTACAGCTAATGTGTACTGTTAGAGATATCAAAACTTGCACTGATATTTCTGAGTCGGATTGCTGGCGAATACTCGAGTTCAACATTCCCGAGAGTCATTGGCTGCAGTGATGCTGCGATTGAAGGTCTGTACGTGAAATGTATTTTCTTCCTTGTGTTCTGATGTGGTTTTTTGAAGTATTCCAAGAACGGATGCATAATTTGCACGCAAAAGCACTTGAACAGTGGAGGCAGTGCATAGTTCAACAGAGCGTGGAGAAACATTGGCTTGACTCATCTTCTCGCCCCGCGACATCGCGCGCCAAGAGTGGTAACATTCTTGACAATTGTCGTGTCGGTTCTTTGACATTGACTGCAGCCACAGATACGTTTACTTCTGCACGACTATCGTCTTCTATGACTGCGGTTCTCCTTTCGTTATCAACATCGATGTATGAACTGGGAGCTTTTGCCGACCCGTCCTACTCACAGCATGCTGTGGGTATGTTGAGGAGCCTGATTGTTTCCCTCCTGGACAATTATGATTTAGATGAAGGACTTAAGGAGCAGGCCGATGTGCAGATATATCATGACTTTAGATTTATGCAGAAACTCGTAGAGCTGTGGGGGAACATGCGGTCAGAGGCCACAGACCGATTGGATTCTCATCTTCGGAGCATTGGTGGCAAGGTACTTGGTTCCCTGATTGATGTCATCGTATCGTTCATTTAGTTGATGCTTCCCGTTGTAGCTCCTCACCCAAGGCATCCCTGTATCATTACTTGATATAGACCGAGAAATTTCGGAACAACTGTCTAGGATGCAGAACCTGATCACACCTCTCCTCCCACAGCCTGTCTCCAACTCGGCATCGCTTACTTCCAAAGGGGCTGTCAATACTGGAGCTTCGTCGAGTCTTCTGCGTTATGGTGTACCTTCTGTTGAACAGGGTTCGCTTCCCGCTCTCGATCTCGTTAAGCCTTCTGCACGATTTGGCTTACTACTTGTCGGTACAACAACAGTACGATAACTTAGTTTATAATACGTGTTTCTGACGGATAGCGCTTTCCGTTGAGCTGGTCGTTGGCGGGGGTAGATCGGTCTACTGCATCATTTAGTATCCCACCGTCCCAGAGCACACAGAACACATCTTAGCCAATGGCGGTGCTATCTTCATCACGATCATGATGACGGTCATCTACCCCGCTTGTATACGGGATAGCCGACTCTTCCTGATGTTATTTATTTAACTGTCAAGATCTTTCTCTCTCGTCTGTCGATGGACCTCACTGATTAATTGGTTCGCACTTCACAGCCTGTGAAATACGAGTAGAATGACTGGATACGGTCATCGCACGATTGTTTCCAGTTGTCTTGTACATACTCTGACTTCCACACTATACCTGACCTTCAGCGAGGGTGCTGGGAATCCTCATAGCGATTTCTGTCTAGGCTCGTCGACTCACTCGCGGAGTCTATTGCACCGGGTGCTGGATAGTGTTTGGAGATGGGAAGTGCGTATAGGACCTTCATTCCTTGCACCCGACGACGCTGAATGACCTCGGCCTACCACAGTTATGTATCTGCGTGATCTTACGCCTGTATTTCTCGCTCTGCACATTGTCGGCGGACACATCGGACTGCCACTTGTCGTTTTAACATTTCTTGTGACGAAGAAAGCAAGGTGGCATCCCACTATCATTAATTTTTGCATCACATGGATACTTTATTCGATATCATTCTGTCTTCTGTGAATATGACAACTGTCTCGTTCGAGTAGGATACTTGGCACTAATACTATTCGCACAGAATTTATGGTGGCCACAACTACCAAGACAACCCGCCGAGGGGGCTCTGCATGGCACAGGCTGCGTTGGTATACGGCACCCCTTCCATGTCAGTGGATTTATTTTTCATCGGATCGAATTGCGTGTATTAATTCTGTGGCTCTAGGGCGGCCGTAGCAGGATCATTCTTTGTATTTCAGGTGGGTAGTAGATCTATGTTTCAGAGTCTGTCCGCTTGACCGCTATTTGCCATAGGTCTGGTCCACCTTTTATACATTTCCTGAACCTGTGTTCTGGATTAAGCTGCCCCGTGTAGTTCAGCTGATTGCGGTAAGATCTCTTGGACCTCTGAAAGTACGACTTACTGAACATCTTCTAGATTCTATCTCCGCCTTACGTGATCCTTGTCCTATTCGTTTGTGGCGCGGGTCTGGTATGATTTAATGCCTGTGATAATCATCAGCTATTGAGGCGATATATATAGATACTTGTTGATGCGCCCTCAACAGCCAACGCAGAGAATGGCATTTATTGCGTGATTGACGTGGAGGATTTGTGAGCAATTTCAATATAGCTGTATGGAGCGCTGACGATTTGGCTTTGTAGCCAGCGTTTAATGACTCCTGCATTCTGTGCCGCTGTACTTGTAGTGATTACGGTCATGCAAGGTATTTCCCTTCATAAATATACTCGGACGTCTACAACTGGTTCCCCCTTATAGTGGCCATTGCAGTCAAAGGCTATCGAGGCTGGCGACATATCAAGAATGTTTTCCCGGAGGCAGAAGTTAGCAGACTGAATGTCGGATCATACTTGCGCGTAAGTGATGACTTGTACATGTGCGACAGTCTGTCATAAAGGTCTTACGATATTACATAGGCTGTAGTTTTTCTTATCTATTCCTGGATAACCATCGGGTGACAGGAATTCCTGAGCTCTTTACAGGACAGAATTCTGATGTTTCATTGAATTCAGGACATGTATCTGCTACCTGGTGACGTCATGTGCCATCGCCAATACATTTCCGTACATGGCGCAGGCAGCTTGTGAGCATTTTTACCATCCCGATTGTAGCACCTGTCAACTGGCCTACACAGTACCACTTGTTGCGTTCGTTGTCTTCGGCACCCAAAAGGTGAGATCGCGCCTGACAGTTCTTCACAGCGCCTGATGATATCGGACCTCAGGATGTCGTAGGTACATGGTATCTTTGGCTCCGCAGACTGTTTCCTCGTTCGCATACGCCAACAACATGTCTGAAGCCTGGATGTAGCGACTTGTCAGGTGTGGTGCACAGTGACATTGTCCTGCCTGTGTAAGATTGGACAGAATTAGGCATGTATAACAACCACGTACCGGTGATGATGTATGTTGTATGATAGCAAAAAGACAATGTTTTTCAAGTTATGATCACTGCATGCATTTCATATATACACAGGTAAAGACAGGTGAATGAAACTCTGGATACCGCAGGTTAGCTGCTAGATAGGACCGCTCTCATGCGCCGCCCCTGTCATTGGTGTTAGACATAATGGTAGTTCAGTGGATCTGATACATACACAAGAATATTGTTGCTAGATGAGGATTGTCAGCAGCGTAGTTTCAGGGGAAAGGGAATGAGCGTACATGGGTATGTGAATAAGTTTGACAAAGTAGCCAATGAAACCCATGACTGCGAACCCAATAGAAACAGCCTTACAAATCTGGAGGAATTCTGAGCACTACGCGTAAGCACAAGGGGATTCATGCATGGCCGGCTAGGCATACCCTTCTGTGACGGCTTCGTACAGCGAGTCAAGAACTGTAGCAAAAAAAAACATTGTACAAGACGTCCACAAAATCAAGATAACCAAAATACCTGCTTCCCATCTTTGACGAACTCTTGAGGAATCTCAGCGAACTCCCTAATTTTGTCGGACATGGTGTTAGTGACGGTCAAGCTGACTGCGTCAGCTAAAGAATGGGTGACGTGTTAGCATAACAGGTATGGTCACGTGCCCGTCTGGTCACGACTCACGACTTGCGACCCCAATCACTGCCACAGGTCCTGGACTGAGTGGACTCAACTTGGTCGTACTGAATTCTTCCGGTCAGGTCTCATCGCTTCGTTTTTTTGAACATTCTTGTCATACACCATTTTGTGTGGCTGGACATAGTCGTGCGCTCCGATCCGACGATCTTCTACGCTGTCGTACTCACGCCAATCTATTCTAGTGCCTGTATGTTGAATGTTCTTAAAGGGTCACGCCACATATAGACGATGCTGGAGCCTTATTCATTCAAACTCATCCGTATCGTGTTTACGCGGTGGTAGCGCTGGTCGATCACGGTGTGTTACTGAGAGACTCTTGTCGTCGACATCTCAGGATGTGGATGTACCACGGCATTCTCCCGTAACGCGGCGCACCCAACATACCTTCCTGTCTGCTGTCAAGAAACACGATGCCGTTGGAGTGCGTGCAGCTTTCGCGGGCATTTCGGATGCCTCCATGCGCTCAGCCATATCCCAGGCTCTCACCCTAGACATCTATAAGGCGACATTCGATATTCTCGCTGGATCAGGATCTAAGGAAGATATCGAACTGATGAAGAAAATTTTTGACATTACCTCTTCTCACTTTGATGAAGAAGAAATGTCTTCCATGTACGATCGTGCCGCACGCAGACTCCTCGCTCGTCATGCTGTCCGGGCTGCATTCGAATGGTTATCTTCGGAGAACATACATATTGCTCCAAGGCCTGAGCACTGGGATACCTTGGTAAACCAATGCGTAAGACAGCGGAATCTACTTCTGACAATGGCGGCTATATCAGCAATGCCCAAGCGGGGCTGCCAGCCCACATCCCTCACTTTCATCAACCTCTTCCAGTCACTTTTTCAAATCGGTTTCTTTCCGCAGATCCGCATTCTCCGAAGGTTTATTACGCTGATGAAGAGAGTGGATGTACCTCGCGATCCTCAAATTGTGCAGGTCTTGAACGATGGCTATAGTAAGAACGGGTATCCTAAACTGGCCAAACGAGCGGTGGAAGCATACTCTGCAGAGTACAACACACACTCTCCATCTAATGTGTCTCCTGAAGATACATTGGACGCTAATGGTATTGCATTGACGGATGCAGAGGTAAATGCGCGCCTAGGAGCAGTGGCGCGCGAGCGGTCGAAGTGGGCTGCAGCCCGGCTGTACTATCAGTATAGGGCTGACGGATTCAAGCCTACTCAAGAAACGCTTCTAGCTGTTCTCAGCGACGCTTCACATACAAGTGTTCTTCAAGATTGGGAAAGGATCTTTGTCCTTTCTGCTGGTCCTGCAGTTTGGGCGAAGTTGATTTATAATGCGGTTTGTAACCGCATCCTCTCGGCAGCTATAGATGTGTACAATTCCGCAATCGCTGCTGGTGTGCGTCCAACCAATGCAATGCTGCATCCCGTCCTACGTCTCATGTGTGCAGGTAGCCTGCGTCCGCCTACCGACGCCACAATCGATAGAGCTATGTGCATGTACCACGACTTTGTTCGACACTGGGAGGTCGACACCGAAGAAGTACAAGGACAAGTGTCACCCACAACGTCAATGACTCCTGATGCCCCAATTTACAACACTCTTTTACGCGTCTTGTTATCGTCTTCCAATACGACCAAGTACTTCCCTACTGCTGTGGCACTGTTGGAAGACATGCGATCTCGCAACGTCTCGATGGATAGCATGACGTCTACTTCCCTCGTGATTATGCTGATGCGGTGTTCAACATCCTTTGAGGAAGCATACAAGGTCTACAAGCTCGTTTGCCACCAGAACCATAAATCTGTTCTCGATCAGGAAGGTTATACTGCAGTACTGAATGCCTTTTGTAAAGTCCATTCTAGCACGATCATGACGCCTCCTGCTCGCCTATATTTCCAGATTGTCCAAGATATGCGACAAGCTGGATATAAAACTACTCCACAAGTCTACACAATTATTCTCCGATGCTTGGGCTCTTTGTCTACACGATCGTCGCTTTCCAATGACGATAACGACAACCAGACTCACACGATGACGCTGGTCAAAATGATTAAAAAGATTCACCAGCACCTTGTGGTTGATGCCTCTGTGAATCCCGATGTCGTTTTGTGGAACCAGTTGATGGATACCTATCAACGTGCAGGCTGTTTTGCGGAGGCGTTGCAGATATGGGAAACCTCCTATCGCTCAGGCCAGATCGACAACGCCAGCGTCAGCATTATTTTGGATACATGTGGTCATGCGAACGCATATGGAACTGCCATGCGAGTCTGGAGCGACTTGACTGAAAGCAAGTTTCGACTGAATCTGGCAAACTGGAACGCATGGCTTGAATGCTTGTGTCGGCTGGGAAGGGTGGATGATGCGTTGAGGGCTATGTGTTTGGAGATGCGACAAGGAACACCACCGCTTAACCCCACGCTGGAGAGCGCACACATTATCTTGTCGTTTGCGCCCAGAACGAACCAGGAGACAGAGGTTAGAGAACGCATCAAGCGGTATCTACCCAAGCTTTGGAAGATCCTCCCCACTGAACATATGCAATCTGATTAATTGAGCAATTGGATGTATCTACTGCAATATTACAATATATCTAAACTTAGTATATATAGTCCTGGCGATGCGTGCGGTTGAACGCCACGAGAGTCCTTAGTCGTCTATGTGGGTAAGATAATGCGTGAAGGAAATCTACGCAGAAGAAGCCGCCGATTCCTCGACAGAGGGACAATCACACTGAGATGTTTTTCAGTCAGGAGTGAATGTAGACAAATACAAAAGTACTCACGATCAGGTTCAGATCGCCATACGCTACAATAGGATTATAAGTCAGCATCTGAATTCCTCGCGCGTACCATCAAGCTCACCGTCATCAATTCGAGAAACCGTTGGCCAGAACTTCTTCTCTAGAAGCCACGGTGCCGGAAATGCTGCCGTCTGACGAGAGTATGGGCTGGAGGTGTTCCTCGTCAGTAAGGAAAGAGTTGGCTCTGAGACGGCACCCACCGATTCCATTCCTTCTCGGACAATGCAATCACAGAAATTGGGTGAGGGGCATTCTTCAGTAGATTGTTGTCTTTCGGCTGGTTGCCGGATATAATGTCTTCGGCTTCCTGCCGAATTTGTATCATCGCATCACAGAACCTGGCCAATGCGATTTATTAGTACTACACTAAATCCAGACAGCCAGACAGAAACTGACCTGTCAATTTCTGCCAACGGTTCCGACTCCGTGGGTTCAATCAGCATGCAGGTAGAGATGGGCCAAGAGCATGTAGGGGGGTGGAAGCCATAGTCCTGTCAATGAATGATTCAATGCAGTTCGTCGTCGTGTCCATAAACAGCATAATTGTACCTGCAGACGCTTGGCAAAGTCAGTGACTTTCAGTCCAGCCGCTTTATCAAATTCGGCCAGATCAATGAGCAACTCGTGAGCTACACGACCGTTGTTGTTCTTGTATCGCAAGCTGTAGTGGCCAGATAGACGGTGGGCCATATAATTCGCATTTAACAAAGCAATTTTCGAGGAAGCGGACAGTCCGGCGCCGCCAAGCATCTTAATGTAGGCCCAAGAAATGAGGAGGATGGAGGCACTCCCATATTGCGCAGCAGAGACAGCATGAATGGCTTGGTCACCCCCGGTTGAGATGACAGGATGGGAAGGAAGGAACGGCGCGAGATGTTCTGCAACACATATAGGCCTGCGCAGCGATGTCATTTAATCTCAGGATGAATATATTCAAATCAGAACATACCCAACACCCGGACCTCCGCCACCGTGAGGACTTGAAAAATCAGTTTGTAGTCACTCATGATAAGCTCATGTAGTCACTTACATTGCAAAGGTTTTGTGGAGGTTCATGTGGCACACGTCGCCGCCGCAAGTTGCAGGATTTGTCAATCCAATTTGAGCATTCAGGTTTGCACCTGTGAAATCCAACTCAACGAGCGTGACCAACCCAGATATGAATCTAAATACCATCAAGGTAGACTTGACCACCGTTGTCATGGATGATCTTGCAAGCCTAGGGAGCGACGATGTTAGACAGGACACGTCAGTAGGAACGTTGTTCTTACATCTTGCACACCATGTTCGAAGACACCGAATGTCGATGGGTATGTGATCTAGAACAACCGTACGTGACTTATGATTCCTGAATTGAAGATACAGTCTCTGTACCATGAAGGCAGCAAGCTGATCTTTGTGCTTTTCAGCCTTCGTCCGAAGGTCATCAAGATCCAAGTTCCCGTCTGCATGAGTCTTCACAGGGACTACCTTCAAACCAGCCATTACAGCGGACTGACGAAAAGCATCATTAAATTGTCATAATAGGTCACAGTTACGACACACTTACGGCAGGATTCGTTCCATGTGCGCTGACGGGGATCAGACAAATATCCCGATGGCCCTCCCCGCGGCTTTCATGATAGGCCCTGATGACAGAGAGACCCGCGTATTCACCTGCCGCACCAGAGTTTGGCTGCACGGAGCAAGCATAGAAACCCGTAATCTTGCATAAATCTGACTCAAGTTCCTGCAGAAATGGTCAAATTGTATCTTACTGGTTCTCATAACATAATCCCATACCTTTATAATCTCTATATATCCTTTCACCTGATCTGTCGGCGCAAAGGGGTGGATACCGCCGAACTCAGGCCACGTAAGGGGAATCATACTGCTCGTGCTGTTAAGCTTCATGGTGCAGCTGCCGAGTGGGATCATGGCGTGGACAAGGCCGAGATCCTTAGACTGAAGGTGGTAGATGTAACGCAACATCTCCGTCTCCGAGTGGTGCGTATTAAACACGGAGTGTGGGAGATACTGGGACGTCCGTTGTAAAATTTGGGGTACAGCAGAAGACTCCGGAAGCGCGACATCCGCAAGAGAAAGCGGGGAGGCAGAAGCAGCAGACGCAAACACATTAATGACTCTCACAACGTCTTCAGTGGAAACGCTCTCGTCGAAGGTGACACCAACGTGACTGGAGTCGATCCTCCGTAGGTTGACTTTCTCCAAACGTGCCGCAGTGTGGACCGTTTCCGAGTCTTTCACAACGCCGCTAACGTCGAATGTAACAGTGTCGAAGAATTCCGAGGTAATGGCGTTGTATCCGTACTTCTCCACTGCCGACTTGACAACCTGGGTAAGGGCATGCACTTTTTGCGCAATGCGTCGGATGCCATCGGGACCGTGGTAAACAGCATACATGGCGGCCATGTTAGCGAGCAAGGCCTGGCTGGTACAGATGTTACTGGTCGCCTTCTCGCGGCGAATATGCTGTTCACGAGCTAGTAAACAGAGTCCATCAACAGACAGATATATGCGCCGCTCTATGTAAATGCGTACTCTGCAGGGCCAATCTGTATGCAGGGTTTCCCTGTACGTCCTTACTCCTGCCAATCAACCTGCCGGGCATCTTGCGCTTCAATTTGTCAGTAACTGCGAAAAAAGCACCATGTGGACCGCCGTAGCCAGCAGGGACACCAAAGCGAGCTGAGTTTCCCAATACAATGTCCGCACCCCATTCACCGGGTGGCTTCAGCATAGTCAGAGCAAGGAGGTCACTAGCGCAAACCAGGAGCGCGCCTGAGGAATGAACAGTCTGTGTAATGCCGCCAAAATCCTTGATGCTACCGTTTACGTCGGGGTATTGCACCAGCACACCGCAAAGGTCCGAGAGTATATCCTTATCCTGCAAAGATGAGACGACGTCCGCAACGATGAGTCGAATGCCGAAACCCTTAGCCCGAGTCTGGAGAACCGAAATTGTTTGAGGAAGAACGCCAATGTCAGCCAAAAATGTGCGTTTCTTCTGATTGGAATTCATGTATGACATGACCATGCCTTCAGCCGCTGCCGTGGCTTCATCCAGAAGTGAAGCGTTCGCAATGTCCATAGACGTCAGAGACATTATCATAGTCTGAAAGTTGACCAGAGATTCGAGGCGTCCTACGCACGCGCACACATGAAGAATAAATAAATCTCTTCAGTGAAGTGTCACCTTACCTTGAGCAATTTCAGGCTGGTATGGGGTATACGGAGTGTACCACGCGGGACTTTCAATGATCTAGCGAAGGTTCGGGATTTAGTATGTACGACCACGTCTGGCAGACGACACGTACATTACGCAGAATGACCGGGGGTACGACGGCATTATGGTATCCCATCCCAATGAAGCTGCGGAATGGCTTGTTCTCACTCGCGAGCTCCCTTGCTCGTCTGTGAAGCTCGGACTCGCTGTAAACAGGTATAGATTCATTGCTAACTGACGTAGATGCAACTCGAATCTTAGAGGGTACAGTAGCGGCGATGAACGCGTCCATGGACTCATAACCCAACGTGGAGAGCATGTGGGACACTTCATGGTCGTCAGGGCCTATATGACGGTCGGCGAACGTGTCCAACGCAGAAAACAGAGACGAGGGTGAGGCTGCCGTGGCAAGACGTCTGCGAGTGAAAGGCGACGAGCGGCCCCAGTAAGCAGACGAGACGACTCGAGTCTGAGCGAACGGGAGATGTGCAGCATAGCGAAGGACCGCCATTGGGGCGGTAGCCTCGAGCCTTACCTACCTAGGAGGGAGAGGGCGAAAAGAGCGTTCGGGGCAGTGGGAATATATGAAAAATCGTGTATTCACCGAGCCATTCACCGAGTAACGGTCTGCAGCGTTCCTTATCATCCCCAACGTCGCTCAGCCACCTTCTCCTCGTCTTCCCGCTCAGCCGCGAGCGCTCCGCTCGCCTGCGCCAACTTTAGCTCATGATCCCCGAGTTCTGTTCACCTCCGTCCTCCTCCCATTAGTTGTGTGTAACGCACCCATAAATGACCGCCTCAATGCAAGCGGGAGTCATCCCGCATCACATTAGGCATGTCTGCACGCCCCAAGGGCATTTTTGCGAGTAGAACAGGCGGGGACGTAATGGCAATCTAGGCTGAGCGCGGGCCCCCTTGCGGAGGTAGGCGGGGTCTCAAGTGAAAAAAGTTTTATCACGTTTAGTTGACTCGGTTCCGTCGCCCTTCCGCCCTGGCCTGCCATATATGGGCCATGTAGATCCTTATATATCGAAACTTGATGTCTCGCTTCGGCCCAAGCGTTAGCAGTCTCAGCTTTGCCGATTGGTCGATAATGAAGAATATCAACCGAGGCGTCACCGTAGTTACCTATATACATACAGATTCATATTGTGAAAATGCATGCGTAGAACGCACGTAAGAATCTCCCACTGGCAGCTCACTTGATCCTGAGACGTTACGAGTCCCACCAATGTGTACAAACGGCCATGTGAACCACAAACCCCAAATACACCGACAATCCCTATGGCATCAATGACATACTATCTACATAAGCGTAGCGGATAAATCCCACAACATCGTCTGCTTGTTTGCTACGGGAGAGTCAGCTGCTGTCGTGCATCTGACCACAAGCACACACGATGACTTACGGTAGCTCCTCGGTATGCAGATCCTTCCCGTACACCAGTCCATCGTGCTCTATCGTCCCAGCTACGATACGCAAGGCCTGATTCGCGGACGTGGCTGTCGTCTCTTGGATTTTTGCTTCGTAGTGTTCGGTCACTGCGAGAATATTGGCTAATGCCTCCACAGCATGGCCTTCATCGGAGAAACGACTCTTTGCCTGCGGCAGAGCCAGCTTGTCAAGAAGTACTTTCTGCTTCCTGAATACTGGTGCCGAGCGAACAACCTCGTACTGGCTGTATATTAGATTGGATGTATCAAGAGGAAAAGAACACTATGTACATACCACTAATCCATACACAGCTTGCGGAGTAGGGAGGAACTCTCCGGAGTGGCACAAGGCAAGATCTAAAATCAGCAAGGTCTACGGAGGGAGACGAGAAGACAAAGTCAGTTTCATTTGAGGAGGCGGTCTGACAACAGCGTACCTCGCGCACAATAGGTTCTACACCACCAGTGGTGATGAGATCATCCAACTTATTGGACAAAAAATCCAGTAAGCCTATCAGTGCTGTCCACATATCTTGCCAGTGGTACTCTAACAGAAATTTCTCAGCACAACGTCTGTGGGACCAAATACAGGACGCACCCAAACGCAAGCGCTCCTTCTGCAAGTAAAATAACACACGATAGCAGACTCTCGTGCATTTCCTAAACATGAACGACACTTGTGAAACGGGCGTCGGGCGTAAAAGGGGGAGAGTGTAACCTACAAATAACAATACGCCTCTAATCGTTTGTGCAAGTTGTGACGCAGCCAAAGCACGCAACAATCTAAAATTGCGCATACAGGTGACGAGGGCGACGAGGGCAACAGAGGTGGTCTCTTCGGTGTAATGATGAGAAACCCACAAAATAGCTGTAGACCCGCAACACTTACCTGACGACACAGTCTCACCGTAGCTCCATTTGTATGACTGAACACGTTCAGTATATCTGGGGCCTCTGCCAAGACGAGCAGCAAATTTAATGCCAAGTTCGCATAGGCAATTGCACGCGGAGCATGTGTTGACGATGCGTGTGTGAAAAGGTAGGAGGATAATGTCAAGAGTGTATATGGTAAAGGCTGAACTTGCTTCTCCGAATCCGGGTTCAGTGGCTCTAGAAAGGCAGCACGAAATTTGGTATTCGCACTGAGGAATTCAAAGATTGGTAGTAAGACGACACAAGCTTCGATAGGTCTTCCATTACCATACAGCAGGGACAAAAGTGAATAGGGTAATCACGAGCTAGAAAAGCGGGCGAAGCTTACTGGTGTTTGAATAATTCTCGGGGTGTGTCAATTGGCTTAGCTGACAAGGCCCGGTCTGGTCGGAGAGACGATAACAATGACCCAAACGCAGTCCCGAGGGTTTGTGGAGAGTCGTCGGAAATATTCTGATACGACCTGGGTAAGTCGTCAGATATGCAACGACCTGACGCAAATTTCATACTTCACCACAGCGTCTGCAGCAAAATTCGAGGCCCAGCAAATTTTACGCATAAGTGCGTCATTTTCCGCTTCCCTAATGCGGTGGAGATATGGGTTGAGTTTTGCTGCGTCTGATTTGTGAAAGTTGGCTAGCAGGGAAACAAGAAGCGAGGCTTCAAACGTGAACTTTTCCGTTTCTGGAGATGTTATGAGCTTTGATATAACAATGAGCCATACCGTTCCATAAATACTGCGAAGCAACGTACAGTGACGATGGAAGGGAATAAATCTCGTCGCAGAAAGTAAGCACCAGGGCTCAGCTGGCTTACTCCCGACACGAATATGATCGCGAGTTGTAAGACCTGGTGACGCAAGTCGACTAATATACTAAGATGAGAAGCACGGAGGGCTTCCTTGAGTGCTCTGATATACCTGGTGCGGAGGCATCGCTCCAAATGTCCTCTATCATAGCAGTGAGGTCCTGCATTGTTTCATGAGCTAGAAGCACGGCGAATATTTCCCAAGACACACATTAAACACTTTGTCGCTGTTCTGAACCCCTCCCGCGAATATTTCCATAATCTCCCATCCAGCCAAATTTCTTCTTAGGATACAACGGCTCAGGATAGACAAGGTTTGCACAGCATGTGGCTTTCGAGCGTCATCGACTGGCATAGAGCGAGCATAGTACAAGCATTGGAGGATGACGGCATTCAAGATAGGCTACTGGAACCAGAACATGAGCGTATGGTGGAATCTGCGATGCAAAGGCGGTATAAAACACGAACCTTCAAGGTACCCAGGCAATCTTCCTTGCTAATCTCGCTCACTTTACCGGAAAGGAAAACTACATCAACATCGAGCTCGAATAGACCCGACCAGAACTTCGTGGCATCCTGATTCGGGGCAATCTGCTCTGGGGTGAAACCCTGCAGGAGACTGTGTTAGACGGAGATCGAGTCCACATATAGCCACTTGCATGAAATAATCTATTGTAAGCCGCTACAAACCGGGACGAGAGCGAGTCTCTGCGGGACACGAGGAAGGACATCGAACAAGGGTGGCGCCACTAGACGCTCCTGATTCCCGAACGAGATCGAGATGATAGACACGAAATCTGCATTTTTGAGTACTAGAATAATATCGTATGCTTTACACGAATGCTATTCTGCTGTATGGATGGCGAATACCATTGCTATCAACGCATTGAATGCGCTACTGCCAATGAGCGCAATGCGTGAGCACTAGATCTTGAAAACGGGCATCGCATGCACGGGTGAGCAAAGCATAGGCGCAGTCAAGTCCGACGTGCTGTACCAGATACCTCTCGGACATGTGGAGTTTCCTCAGGAAACGATGAGCGCGCGCAGTGAACTCCTCGTTTCACGTCGTCCCAGTTATCCCCGCGTCCACCATTTCTGTAATCCAGCCCATCAATGCCTCATCCCGGATCCTCACATTCTCCATCAAGTGCCTCGCTCCAATGAATGCCTTTCGACCCCTCCTCTCTCCCTCCCTCTCGCGGTCCGTTCCTGCCCTTTGCATTGAATTTTCTTGGTCACCAATGTCTTCTACGATGCCCGGAAAACCAAAATGATCCTCGTCGGCACGGGGAGCGGCATCGGAAGACGCAAATGATGCGCGAAAGAGTACACGGATACAAAGCAGAGCAGTGAGCGCCGACGAGGGTGGATCAGCGACAGGGCGTTTGTACGTTATCTTCGCAGAATGGGCCGGGGGGACAGGCCTAGTCGTCGGGTTGGGAATGGGGTGAGGGTAATTTTCAGACGAGAGGGTAATGGCGGTGGGCTGCAAGGGGTCTGGGAAAGTAGGTTGCGTGTTCGGCAGATGGGTAAGGACATGTCCACGAACATGTGCTTTGGGTACAGGCGCATGCGAGCAAGATGCCCATAAACATGGCACCTCGGCAACTTCGGAGGGGTTAACATGTTGGTTGAGCACATGCTCATAGAGCTCGCCTGCAGATCCAAAAGGTTCAACTGGACATTGTGAGCGGTCCCAACAGCATTTGTACAGTTCGATCGTTGACTTGTCTTTCCGCCGGTCGACTCCCCTTACGACAAATCGTTGCGGCGGCCCAGGTAGAACCATGGCCTGTGCTTGGGGAAAGACCAAATTCACATTCTTGATGACATCCGAGGCCACAAGCAGGTTGTAACGTTCTTGATATGGCATAAATGCGTCCTTGTATAAGTTCCAAAAGTCAACCTGGGTGAGTTCGCCATCAGGATTGGCCACGAACATAGCCTTCATCCTAAAATGAGAGATACACTAAAAAGGGTAAACGTAGAAAGAAGGTAAATGACCCATACCATTCGTAGCACCTTTGAGGCTCCGGCATCGGCACCAGCCTGTCGAATTCCTCCTTAGTGAGTTCATGGTTCTTGATACTTGCAGTCAGCGCAGGCGCGGTGTGAATTGGCGCGGCAATATCAAGTGAGACCGTTTCCTCTACTTGCTCGGAAAGCAAATGAGACACCAATAGCTTCAAAGTAGCCGGCATCCTCGAATGAAGCAGAAACGCTTTTGTCATGGGCGGATGTGCGAGATGTGTATACAGATAATTCACAGATGCATCAACTAGCGCCTTGTCTTGAAACAGGGGAAGATACCTGACTGCTGCATCCAGCGCAGGCGAGTCTTCCGTGAGGTGGCCAGTGTTCGCAGGATTGGACAGAAGCAGGTTTAGTGTAGTGAAAGAGGTTAAGATCAAAGCGCGATTTGAAGCATGTCCCGCCAAGTTTTGGAGTGGCTGTAATGGATTGGCTAATACAGGTGCATTCGGCGGTGGTAGAACCAAGTTTGGAGCGAGTGCCTGTAGCAGTTCGATAACGTACTGCACGAACTCCATGTTGGAATCTGAATCTGTCGGTATATGGTGTAAAGCAAGTAAGATGAGTTGTCTGGTGCTTTCATACTGGGACAGCTCTAGGGCATTTGGCTCGTTTACAGCTGCATTGCGAAGGATGAAAACAGACTCTAAGGCATGCCTTCGATGTCTCTCCCATTCAGGAGGGAGAGAAAATAGCATAGAGGTAGGTGCACAGTGTTTGGCGCCAACGCGGACGTACCAAAAGGGCCATTCAAAGAGCGCGTCGGTAAGACCAGGTATGGCGCGAAGAAGGAACTGTTCGTTGTTGCAGAGGCGGCAGAGACGATCGAGAGCCCAGGCTACCTCGGAATCAATCCCGGAACGAAGGGAAAGGAGCATGCGATTGTTTGGCGTAGCTTCGGTGTACCAACCTATGTGTTCGACAAAACGTAGGTCAGCGTATCGGAGCGCTACACGGACGAGGTATACTCACGTTCGTAGTCGTCCGTGACATTTGGCCTAGGTTGGGTTGCCTGTGGGGTATATGTAGATGCACGATAAGGAACTGTTGATGCCGCTCTGGGGACGATTGAAGCTACATGCGCGGTAGTCATTTCGTGAGCTCTGCAATGTAAACCTGAAGCTACGCGACTCCGGAGATTG